AAAGGAAAGGTACCTTTAGCCCCGTGCCTTACATGCGCGAATTGAGGTACCTGTTCCCCCCGGGCGCTCGTCCATCAACCCAATCCCGTCCACGCATCCTGCCCAGTCCAGTCAAAATCCTTCTTCCCCCAGTCTTCCGTCTTGTCTTAATTCATCTGCGCGTTGCACCGCATCCGACAGCGTCTCCTGAGGTGCTTTGCTCTTCTTCTCTTCCACCAGCAAATTCCCTCCCGTGTCCCAGTCCCAATCCACACACCCGTACGAATACCTACCGCACCGCACACACGTTCCTTCGGTGTGTGGACTTGTGGACGCGTGCATGAGCTAGACCTCTTCCTCGCTCTCTATCTCTTACCCATACCCTTTACGAATATCCGTACCCTCCTCCCACTCAACTCCCTCTCCTTAAGCAACCTGAGTTGCTCTACCTTGAACGGCACGGCCATAATAATACACAAACTGCCCACACAAGAGAGAGCTCGGCCCAACTTCATCCACCCCTCCAACATCAACTTCTATTTGCATCCCCACTGCTGCACTCCGTCAACTGCCACCAATAGACGCCGTGTTCTGGAAACACCTGCGATCTCCCCTTAACGGCTGCTCTATTGAACCTACTACCCGGCATTGCCCAACGCGCGGCTCAACTTCATTTCTTATTCTCTCCTTTTCCCTTTGTCCCTCTCTCTCTCCATCGGTTACTACTCCCCTTGAAATTCGGCTCACTCCGTCCTGCGCGCACCGAACCCCTCGAAATTGCAGTGGACTATTCTCTCGTCCCGGATACCAACTCGAATCGTCCGCTCTCGCGCATAGCCTGGCCCGCCGAAACTGTCGATCAACATTGAGCCGAAACGTGCGGAATCCCAGCCTACAAGACCACAACAACCCCCCGCCAACCCTTGGCCTTCTCGTCAACGTCAGCTATGCGCCTGTTGTAGTCTGTCCAATTCCACAAAGCTGTGGAGCTACATCTAATTTTCTCCTTTACGGTAACCTTATGCGATCCCGGGCCGCCTAGGAGCTGTTACCGAAACCAACACTTTTCCGACCTCGAACCACCCATCTTTTTACCCCAACATACACCCCAAAAACACACTCGACCGAAACCCGCACATTGCGCCACTGAAATCGAAAAGTCCACGACACGATTCCGACACGAGAAGTGGTGGCATAGCAGACGATGGCAGGATATCCGGGTCAGCGTCCTTATGGCGGTGGCCCTCCCGCGCCTCGTCCTGGACCCGGCCCCGGCCCAGCGCCCGCGCAGCGGGGTCCTCCTCAGCAGTATGACAACTACCAGCAGGACGGATATGGCTACGACTACTATGATGACGGCGGCTACGACCAAAACTATGGCGGTCAATACCAGGACCCCAACTACGGCAGAGGTCCGCCGCCGAATCAAGGCTACCCGCCGCAGGATTACTATGGTGGCGGCCCAGGGCCCAATGGCCCGCCAAGAGGAGGGCGACCGCCTCAAACGGGAAGAGGTGGTCCTATTGCACGTCCTCCGACCGCAGATGGCACTCGCGGCGGATACCCGCCTCGTGGCGGTGGCGGTCCCCCAGGCCGAGGAGGTTTCCCCATGGGCCGGGGTGGCCGTCCCGCTCCGTATGAGCGATCGGCCAATTCAGATCCAGCTGGTGAGTTGCATGCGTGCCATTCGTGCCCTTGTATGCTAACCATTCCTAGCAAACCGTCCTCGAGAACACGCGCCGATCAGTCCTCCTGGCGCCCAGGGATTCAGTGGTGGCGCTTTCCCGTCATTTCCAGGACAAGGCCGTAAGACGGACCTAGATGCTGAAAATGCGATTCTGAACAAGATGGCCGGAATCGACATCTCATCCCAACCTGTCCAGCAGCGGCCTCCTGGTGGACCTCCGAATGGCAGAGCGCCGCCACCCCGTGGCTACTCTGACCCGCGGCGTGGTCCTGAGCCAGGTTACGGACAAGACTTCCGAGGAGATGGCTACGGCCAGCAAGGCCCTCCGAGGGACGACTTCGGTCCACCTTCTAGAAGCATGACCATGCCGGTCAACGACCAAGCGCAAAGGCGCGGGCCTCCGCCACGCCAGGACACATATGGTGGCCCAGGGGGACCGCCACGTGGTGGTGTTCCTCCTCGGCCTTCAACAGCGCAAGGAAATCGGCCGCCACCGCAGCGCATGTATCCCCCAAACCCGATGCCTCCGCCGCCGCAACAACAGCAGCAGCAACTGCCTCCGCCTCAGAATGCAGGGTATGGGGGACATGGAGAGTTCGGAGGCGATCAGGACGGATACCGAGACACTAGGGCGTCGTTCGGCGACGTCTACGACGCCTATTACCAACCTTCTCGCATGAGTAATCAAAGCGCCCACAGTCATGGGCATCACGATGCTCCCGACTACAATGGGGCACCATCGCATGCTCCTCGTGGTTCTTTCGAACAGCACATGCGCCCAGGCATTGCCGAGCACACGCAGCCGGGCGCTAAGCGCGTTCCGGAGATGAGTCGGACCAAATCGCAGCCAGATCTCCGACAGTCGCAGCAGGCTGTGTTTGAGATGGCCGGCGACGCTCCTCCGATGCCGCCAATGGGCAACGGCTACCAGGACGTGTATAACCAACCCAACGGCTGGGACCAACCACAGAACCCGCAGATGGGGCGTCCTGGCTTGCCCCAGGGCCCTTCTCCTAATCGAGGCCCCGATTCTCTGCCATCTCATCCGGCCCCCGTCCGACCTGGCCACATGCCGAATTCCATGGTCAACATGAATGACAAGCCCGCGCCTGTTCGCAACTACGCCGGCGCTCCTGGCGTAAACGTGCCGACACCTCCTGCCGGTCCTGGCGGCGCACCTCCGCCTCAGCAGCAAATGCTCCCTCAGCAACCTAGCAAGGCTTCGCTTCAAGAAACAACACCCGTTACCCAGGAAGAGCTAGAGCGTCTACGCCAGGTTGTCAAGTCAACACCGAATGATCAAGAGACTGCCATGAGACTGGCGAAGCGACTGGTGGAGGCGGCCGATGTTCTGGCCCCGAATCTTGCCGATCCGAAGATGAAGACCCGTGCCCGGGAGAGATATCTTGCCGACGCAAACAAGATCCTCAAGAAGCTGTCGAGCGCGCAAAACTCTGAGGCAATGTTCTTCTATGCCGACTGCCTAGGCCGTGGCTTGTTTGGACTTGAGCCTGATAACAAGGAGGCTTTCACATTGTACCAGTCGGCTGCTAAGCTCGGACATGCGGCTGCGGCGTACAGGACGGCAGTCTGCTGTGAGATTGGCCACGAAGAAGGTGGCGGCACAAGAAAGGATCCCCTCAAGGCGATCCAATGGTATAAGAGAGCTGCCACGCTCGGCGATACGCCAGCCATGTACAAGGTTGGCATGATCTTGCTCAAGGGGCTTCTTGGCCAGCCAAAGAACCCTCGTGAAGCTGTAGGGTGGCTCAAGAGAGCTGCGGAAAGAGCTGACGCGGAGAATCCTCACGCATTGCATGAATTGGGTCTGCTCTACGAATCTGCAGCCCCCAATGATGCCATTATCAAGGACGAAGCTTATGCCTTCCAGTTGTTCCGAGAGGCGGCTGACCTCGGCTACAAATTTTCACAATATCGTCTCGGTTGCGCCTTCGAGTATGGTCTGATGGGCTGCCCCGTTGACCCCCGCCAGTCCATTATGTGGTACTCCCGCGCAGCTCAGCAAGGCGAGCACCAGTCTGAGCTGTCACTCAGTGGATGGTACCTTACTGGCACCGATAATGTCTTGCAGCAGAGCGATACCGAGGCTTACCTGTGGGCGCGCAAGGCTGCCACGGCCGGTCTGGCCAAGGCTGAGTACGCGATGGGTTACTTTACCGAGGTGGGCATTGGTGTGCCAGCCAACATGGAGGATGCAAAGCGATGGTACTGGAGAGCAGCTGGTAAGTTGCAATTGCTTGTATGTTTGCGATGTATGCTGATCCATTTTACAGCCCAAGACTTCCCCAAGGCACGTGAACGGCTCGAAGACCTTAAGCGCGCCGGCAAGAACGGACCCCGGCAGCGCGAGCGTATTTCTCGCAGCAAGATCGGCAAGCAACAAGAGGGCGAGTGCTCCGTCATGTAGGCGGCAAGGCATGACCCAATACAACAACTTGATGTAACACGAGCGGTCCGGGCTGGGTTCCTGTGTCGACCGCAACGACGACCATGAACAGAGGATGAAGAGACGACGACGAGGTACAACTCTGTGTACTTGTACGGCATCAACCGACAACAGGATGTTTGATCTATACGGAACAGGAAAGAAAAGGCTCACGAAAGAAGGAAGAGAATGGGGGAAAGCCACAACAGGCGTTCTGGACAAATGGTAGTCTAATTTCCTCCATTGGATGGGAGGCTCCTTTGTTTGATAGGGAGGTCACTCATATTCTCCTTCTTCCCCATACAGGTCCATGGAATGAGAATGGCTCTGATGAGGGGCTGGATTTCAAGCGTTCATGTCATTGTCTCATCTGAGGGCAGGTTGACATGGCTCATACAGCCAATGTTTGGCGTTTAGCATATATAATTATTCATCAACGTCTTCTTTGATGCTCTATTGCTTTCTAACACTTGGTTTATTTCCTAACTTGAGGTTACTACAGGAAGCTTGAGACTTAACCAATGTTACCTTGCTTGCGTACGAGGTAGTTGGCGAGTGAAATCAGTTTCCTCTTCCCTACCGATTTCCCCTAACGAAACTATTCGATTATAATGACCTTAGATTTGCTTGATTCTCCATAGGCGATTTGCATCTCACCTCGGAGCCGTAGAAAAGGGGGGGAGGGTAGAGTGGCTGTAGCTGCGACTGCCAACAGGTGAGTCTCGTTCGGTTTCGGTCTCGGGTCGTGTTTGTGCAGTGAGGCTGAGGTTCTCGAAAACCCGGGGTTACAATGGTTTGTGTGGAACGATGAGGGTTCCTTGGCTGTATTACTTGCCAATTTTAGTTCAAGGTAGTCCGAGCGAGGCAGAATGGTCCTTTCTACTAAGGTCAAGTAGGCTGGTAGGTAAGATAGGCGGCGAGGAATGTTTCCTTGGCGGGGAGTTTCGTGCGGCCCGGGACGAACTTTGGGGGACGACAGTCCGGAGGTTGCGGCGCCGGGCCGGAGGACCTGTCGGCTTGGAGGATGCGGATGGTCCCGGGGGGGAAGCATATGGTCTGGATGTGTATGAGATTCGCATCCTCATAGTGGCACGAATAACTCTTCTTAAGTAGGTCGCGATTATTCGCTACGAATTTGATGTGTAAGCTTCACCGCGTATCCATGTATGAGCCACCGCGTCCTACCTAGTAGGTACCCTCTCTTACCCCAACTTCATGTACGAGATCCCGTTTTCTCTAGACGAGATTGATGAATCAGGGGAAGGAAGGAAGGCCCTCGAGGTACCTGCCCACCTACCTTCCATCTGAATGTACGGGAAGGGTATATGGCCCCCCTCAGTCCCATTCCTGTCACCAGCCAGCAGGCGCCTCCCTTTGGGAGGTCAGGTCAAAACTGGCTGGGTGGTGGAGTGGTTGAAGTCCACGAACAGCCTAATCGGCGAAGGCTTAGAGGTCCCGAGTTCGAGTCTACGAAAAATCCCAGCATGTGCGCCAGAGATGTAGCCCCCGTTCGCCACCGGGGGGGTGAACTCTTTTGCCTTTTCGGATCTTGGTTTCGCGGTAGATGTACATCGTGGATACTGGTTAGGAATGCAAAGCTTTCCATGCAGTGCGATGTTGAATTTCTCCTCGTTCAATCTTGCTCCTTTCTTACTATTGCTTCAGTCTTTCTCTTACGGCACCTCTTCCGCCTGAGTCTCAACATCGAACGTAAGGTAACCTCGGAGAAGATTAGTGGAGGAGCGGAAACACCGTGTGGTATTTTGAGCACTCAAATTAGATAATTATTGATTCACTCGTCTTCCAAGTAAACTCCCGAATTCTCATGTCTCTCCAAGCTAAACTAGCAAAATGGACATGCTCACTGTAGCAGCAACCAACAAGAGCCCACAACTCGAAGAAACCGAGCCAAATGCGCTGCTCGTTGCAGCCCGAGTCGAATTTACCCTCATACAATGGATATTCGGTCTCGCCAACTTGATATTAAACCGCTCCTCCCCAACCCACGTATTGAAAATCAGAATCTGCACGCGGTTCGAAGCATTCAAATACGCCTGCCTCGCATCCCCGCCATCAACCAACCCGCTCCCGAACCCCATAATCTCACTCCCACTTGTGACCGGCGACGTGCTCTCCCCCGTCGTTGGGGTGGAATTACTCGTTACGTTGGGGTTGAGGTTACTCGTCCTAGCTCCATAAATCACGGCACCATACCCGAACGTGGTATTACACTCCGGGATAGTCTTCCACAAGGGCATTCTTCCGTCGCAGCTATCTCGGGTGAGGGATTTATCGGAGGCGTGGAGGGCTTCGAGGCATGCTTCGCCTAGGACGGGTTCGCAGTCCGTGCTGTTGCCATTCTCCTCGGTCCAGAGGTTGGTGACGTTGGGAGAGAACTCGACGTCTAGAGACGTTACGCAAAAGGGAGAATCAGAGCCGCGGAGACCGCCGGATGAAAGATTTCCTCCGAGGGGCCAGGATAGGGAGTATGAGGTGGCGATGTAGTGCGGTTCGGTGATGTTTCGGCCTAGGTTTGCCTCTGTGGTGTCTTGGGCGAGGTTGGGAAGACTGAAGTCGGATATGTTTACGCCTGGTGGTGAGATGTAAGTCTACACAAGTACTTTCCAGTGTCGGGAACAGGGAATTAGAATCGTACGCCATGTCCATTTGTCTTGTCCGAGCAGCCGAGCGTTGCCTGAGAAGACCTCAAAGGGGCGGAACGATATTTGACGCGTGGCGTTGGGCTCTGCTATTGCCTGTTGGAGAATCTCGATGGATTGGTTATCGAAGACCGTGGGCGGCGATGCTCTGAATGTTTGAGCGCGGTCGTTCCAATAGCTGAAGGGCGCAGAACCGCGTGAGAATAAAAGGCCTACGATGGGGAGTTTCATTCTGGACAGATGGTTTCTATTGATTATGATGAAGTTGAGATAGAGTACAAGAAAAGACCTGGAGATGTGTTGTAGCCCGTGGAATCATCATGTGCAATTTTGCCTTTAATCTCTTATTTAGAGACCTAAAGATTTCGAGATCTAGATAGAGGAGGCTCTCGAGGAGACGTTTTTCGCCCCGGGCGGAGCAGATCTTGCCGATCTTGTCAGCCCTACGCCCGGTAGATATCTGGGGTACGTGATACCATTACGTGCGCCCAGACACTATGTGATACTTGCGATATCACTTCTAGTCGTGGTGTAAATTTACATATATGGATGACTGGCCAGTCGTAGTGGGAGGGAAATGGCTGCTTGGCATTGGCAGACGTCAAAATGCCAAGACAGAGGCAACCTTCAGAGCCGAACGCTACACTGAATCGTTCGAACTGACAGTAATCCGATTGAGACCGCGTCCAGTCAGGCTCCAATTACCTTAAAGTAATGTCTGAAATGGTTTCCTCTAACGACCCTGGCAGCCTAGACTGCAAGGCAAAACAATCAGCTGTGGTCGAGGAGTGATATGAAGAGAACCTATACCCCCGAAAATGGGTGACGCGTAAACTTGCCGACGGCTCTCTTCTGATGATTGGGGAAAAAACTGTTCATGTACGTACGAGTACCATTCCGTTGTATCTAGCACCCAAGTGAAACGATGAGCAGGGAAATGGTCATTCGGGACATCGTCCATAAGGAGTCGAAAACGTAGTCAGTGTAGCACTAGCCTGCTGTGTCCAGACGCTGGCATTCATGAGTAGATATATAGAATTATTCATCGCAGCTTCAGTCCTTCAGTTACCAGTCTTTCTGGCCCTTCATTGGCGCCCGACTCACTCCTTCTGCCCGTATCCAATAAGAGACCTCAAATCGATGAGTGAAGACGATATGAGTCACGTCAAGGATAGGAAGATTGCAACTCAATGCCAGATGCGACGCGGTGGAAGGATGACAGAGTCTATAGGCTGTAGGAAAGCTCAATGCGGAATCTGTAATCTTTCCACCGCGTAGATAGATGCCTTCCCGGGCCCAACTCTTCTTTGGCAAAGCCTACCATCAGAGCCGTCAGCATCAGTCCATTAGAGATCAAGACCTCAAATTAACTCATCGATAGATGACCTCACGACTCTGGTGATCCTGTTTCGAAGTATGGACACTCATCTTCTTCGTCCCGTACCATTCGGAAGTTCCCCCCACGCAGGTTCAAATCTAGAACTCGACCGACCTCGGTACGGCCGGCGTGTCATCCGATAGTTTGCAACACAGGGTAGCAACCAGCAAGATGGCCCCCGGAGCCCGAAGGGGGGATCGTCCCGTGCCTTGCGTAAGGGCCAGGGCCAGGGCTAAAAGGGAGAAAGAGAACCTCTTTTTCGGGGAGGGAGTGGATCACAGGGTTGGGCTGGAAATTGAAAAGTTCTTATGCATGCATCCCAGCCCAGCGAACTACGTGTAACGGTCGAACTCGTTTTGCTTTTCCGTATTGCCGGGGCAGATCTTGGTAAACTTCTCGCCGATTACGGTCTATGGATGGGCTGGCCATGGAAAACTACGGACGAACTATGTGATTCTGACGTGAACGCCCCATTTCGATATTGATAATTCTCCGGCATCATCGGCCGGGTAAGAGGGAGTTGCAGAGCCGGATGGACATGTGTGAAGGGGCGACGAGCCGGAGAGGAGCGGGAACTTGGAAGTGAAGGGGTCAAAAAAGTTTAAAAGATTAGATGAGTCTTGGTATCTCAGAGAAGAAACGAGAGGGCCTGTTTGTCGAGGGCAGGGCGAGACAAGGTAAGGCGCTGAAGGAAGAAAGAAAAGGGTATTATTCAGGCAAAAAGGTCGAAGATGGGTCGACGGTGATGGAGATGGCGGGTTGCAGGTAAACAGTCTCTCTCTTCTCGAGTTCTTTTGAAGAGATTGCGGAACGTCTCACTTGAAACTTTCCAATCTCAGACGTTTCGTTTTATTCCTTGTCTCTTAACTCTCACCTCTTTCCCTTTCTGCCTTTTGTCATTTCTGCATTCGACATTCTGCATTCCAAAAGAAGGGGGAAAAAAGTGGGAAAGCATTTGATCCGCGGCTTCCACGAACCGGCGATGCCGCGATACATGGCCGAGATTACGGATACTGGGTAGAGAGACATGTCTAGTTCGTGGTGTACGGAGTATTGTGCGCTGGCAGAATTCTGGGAATCATATCCTTCGAATCATCGTCACACGTGTTTGTTGCTTTTCTGGAAACTTTCTGGATGGGGAGGGGTTACACCCTCGACGGGGTTAGCAAGGCTGGGTTGCGTTTTCGTTGCTTATTCTTGCCAGACTAGGTACCAAACTAATACCGCTCACACGACCCTGTCACCTTCAGCTCCTTTTCGGAGGCAGGCAGACACATTCTAAGATGCTAGGGACGTGGTGACTTGGATGTGCGTGGTGTAGGACTCGGCAGAACGTTATTCGAGGAGAGGAAGAAAAACCTCATGCTCTGAGATCCACAACAGATAGAGAGAGGCCGCGCGCGTGAGAGAAAAGGTCTTTGGGTACGACGGCGGAGACAGAACGGTTCTATTGCATTGATGGAGGTCTTCCTGCCATCCGATGTTTCGTGGTCCTGTCTGTGTTTGATCACCTGTTCATCCCACAATGGCAAAGCCCCCCTGCACTGGGATGTCTTGTCTCCCTCTGTCATTATCTCGCGTCTCAAGTCTCTCTTTGCCTTGCTGCCAGACCGGTGATAGACGCGCCCACATACAGACCACATGACGAGCATGCGGCACAGCAGCACATGGATTACACGAGACAGAAATGCACTGTGAGATATGCGCGGGCGATCATCGACGCGAGGGTACGCACAACGGCGCGACGACAAGGCATTGAGGCATGCGACCTTATACTTCTTTCCCCCTCCACCTCGGACGTCCACAAAGTCGGCGTCGATTTGTGATCTCACAACCGAGTGGGATTGAGACGGTGGGTGAGGATGGTGGCTGCTGACTTTCCATCGTCCGTCTGCGTGGGCTTTTATGCGGGATGCTTATGCTGCAGAAGGGGGAGTGGCAGAAATTTGACGGATCATCTAATGCAAGCCCATCCAGCCACATCACTGTGTACGATGCAGCGAGCCTCTCGGTTTAAGAAATGTCACCGCCATCGAGATCGTTAGAATATCACATATGCCGCCGTACACGACTCGATGACTCCCCTCCACCACGGCTCGATTCCAGACGGAGGGAACAGCAACAGAGAGATCTCGCGATCTCACGATCGATATGGTCAAATGTCCGACCACGCTTTGTTCCAGTCGGTATCAAATTTCTCCGAGCCAATGAAGACGGAGGGTGACAGCACATCGCGGAGCCGAAGTGGACGGAGTATCCAGAAAGGAAGCCCAAGGGGGGGACGTGGCGGGCAGATGAAGATCCCAAGATCGGGGCATGCGAGCGCAAGGCCAGCCGAAGGAGGGGGGTCCCGAGGACAGCGGCGCCAACAAAACAACGCACAGATGTTGCGAAAATGATGTGTCTTTTTGGGGACAATGTTCATGATCCTTGCTGATGAGCAGGGATATGTGCTCATGAAGGGATGGGTAGCAGGGGTGAGTGATGGTAGGACGGCGTTCCGAATCCTTGAGATAATTGCTTTTTCTTGCATTTTTCTTTAACCAGAGTTTTTCTGCTTGTCTTTGGAGGGAAGAAGAAGTGAGAGAGATTCGGTCTCGGATTTTGGGGGCCTGGTGTACTGGCTCAAGGTGGCTGATACATGAAATCGGTTACGATGGCCTGAAGCAGTTCAAGATCATCTCTAGTTGATCGATCATGTCGCTATCCGAGACTCAAGCACCGGGGGTAACTAGGAGACTGCGACGTCTCTTGAGGCAAGGAGGCGCTTGGGCTGAGGCTCAACTAGAGGCGTTTAGAAGGCGTTCAGGGAGCCCAAATATTAAACATGGCGATTTCAGATCCAGATTCACCATGTATGGAAAAGGTTTGACAGGACGGAAGCTCCCGTTAGACGGCGTCCGATCTAAAGTGCTTGGTAGTCTACCAGGGCAGTAGGGGGGAATGAAGTGGAAAGGGGGTGGCCAGATTTGATATCGAAAAGAAAGGAAACGAAAGGAAGCTATGAACGGGAGGACGGTAAGCTCCGGGATAGAAGCCATGTATTTGACTTCTCTGATGACGTCCCGAGCTGTTTCGATCGAGTCAGTAATGGAATTTTGTTTTCGATAGTATCCGCTGGATCGATGCGCGGGTACGTCCGTAGATGAGCGGCTTCTGACGTGGCTGGCTGGCGGGCAAACGTGGACCCAAACAATGTCTCTATCCACGTGCCAACCTGCATCTGAAGATCGGCAATACACCATGTCATTGCCACGCACAGTTTTCTGTTGTGAATCGGACTGGGAGGCGAACCAGGAGGATATGAGGAACGACTGGGATGAAGGGTGCTGGGAGACGTTGAAGGCGTGGCACGCCAAGTCCTTGGTCGAACGAGAACCGCATGGCAGATACCGGGCGAGGGACCAAGAGGGTGGGCAGGACGTTAATGCAGTTCCGAATCGAGGGTTCGAAGCATGGTATGCCGTGATAGGTGGTCGGCATAGTGACATACTGCTTGGAATCATTATTACTGAATCGGGATGATCAGATGGTGCCGTCAAGGATAAGAGATCTGGAGATCTGAGTGAAGTATTGTTTCCTTCTTTTACTGCCTCGTACAGCCATACCTACTTTTGATGCGAGAGTTTTGGACCGTCAAAAGTCTATCATACTTACTCGTGTAGGCGCCACGATTCTGTGTTCGACGGCGCCCATACGTGGCTTACACTACCTACGTATTCGGGAGATGGATGGTGGTCAGGTTCAGAGATGGGGATCTGCCGCAGGGGAGGGACGAAAAGTACAGGGACATGGGGGAGAATCTGTTCGGGGAATGAGGGGTCCCCGGTTCCGCGGCCGGGATTCCACCCATGGCTTGTCTTGGCTCATCTTGAAGTCTCTCCGCCTCTTGTTACTTACATTCCTTGTCTCTCCCATGCGGGACATGTTACTCGGGGCATGGCCATTGGTATGCGAGCCCGGCGCGGGCGCGCGGGAAGACTGCATCGTGGGGGACCGTCATTTGGTTGTAACTCTACAAACAAAAGTCTTGGATCTGACAAGAAAGATGTGGGTGGTACGGAGAGACGAGGGCTATAGCGCGGGTGTTGACGATGTTTGCTCTCCCGGGTCCATGGACGGAGACACAGCTGAAAATAGTCGAAGCAGGACGGGTTGGACGTGTACACCTACATATCTATAACATCACCCACATTTGCAATTACTCTACCTGCCTACCTAAGCTAATACTACGGCTACCTACTTGGTTATTGAAGCAAACATACCGACTCGTCTCGTTGCAGACCTTTCGCCCGTTCACCATGCAACCACCCCAATCACCCGTTCAGTTCCCTCCCCCTGGTCCAACGACACCACCTTCCCGGAATCCCTCAAAGGTGAGAAATGATATCACAAACGATGATTAAAAACCTTGTAAGTCCCAAAGCCTCACGCACTAGCCGAGGGAATAAAGCACTTTCCACCCAAAGAAACGAATAAGCGAGCCCCTCGGTTCCAGCCCTGTTAACCGCTTCCCTTTTGTTTTTTGCCCACCACGCAGTCCGTCCATTATGATCCCATGGCAAGCGCCAATGCCATATCCTAGAAGGCCTTCACCGCAAGTGAACTTCCATGCCCACAAATTCAAGCGCAAGATGAAGCCCGTCGCCGCAACCCGCCGGGCCAATGCGGCTTCACGCAGCCCTCGCAGCCAGGACTCAGCACATCCGGCTCCTTGCCCTCGAACAACTCGGGCTTGTACACATACCACTCGCGGTACGACTTCCACTCCTCGAGAAACTCGACCCAGTACGCGAGCTGCTCGACGAGCCAGCTATCGCGGAGTCGGTCGCGAATCCACTCGGCCGTCTCCTCCTTTCTGCTGTTGCCGTTGCCTTGCTGCCCCACTCCCGCTCCCGCTCCCGAACGTCCCGTCGCCCAGGTCCGAAGAAGATCCGGCCGGACGTCGGCGACGCGCTCGGCCGTGTAATAGACAAACTCGGCCCGTTGGCCCCGCGCCGTGAAGTATGGGACGGAACCCCACTCCACGACGGCGCGCTGCTTGGTCAGCTCCACCACGCGCACCGTGCAGCAGGTGCATTTTGCCTGGTTGAGGAAGTCGCGGAGGACCGTCGAGGCCGAGGGCGTGCTGGTGCGCGGGTGGAGCTGCATGGTTGAGGTTGTAGCGCGATGATGGTGTTTCCTGTGGTTTTGGTGTGGCGGGCGAGTACCTGCGTCACGGGAACTTGGCGGGCGAGGCTGCGTTTGACATGTTAGTTTGTGTTGGTCCTGATTTGAAGCTTTCGGGTGGATAGTGTTGGGAGACGGAGAGTGTGTGAGTGTCAATCCTGTTGTGTGGCCGATACCCGGGGTGGTGGGGTGAAGCGTGAAAAAGGCTAGACGAATAAAAAGTAAAGAGTGAAAAATGAAATAAATGGTAAAAAAAAAAGAGCTCACGAGGTTTAGCGATCGATCTGTCGTCATCTCAGCTGCGAGGATATCTAGGATCTGTCGGCAAGTCGCAGACTCTAGACCTGTTTGTTTTCTGTTTGTATCCACCCCGAGTTGCTTTCTTCGGCTTTCCTTCCTGGCGACCAAGGATCTCTTTAGATACCATCACCGACGGACCAACACGGCACGAGTCGACACAAATGGACTGTTCCGATGCTGATGCTGGCTGCGTACGTACCGGATACGTCCCAAACTTCTTTAAAATTGGCAAGGCTGGCTTGGGCTGCAGAGACGACAGAACGGGAATGGAGTGGAGAGCATGAGCTGAGCTGGAGCTTGTTGTCTTTGATCCTCAGGGCAAGGGAGAGAGAAAGGAACAGAAGGCCCGGCCGCCCCTCCAAAAGGTCTCTTGGAGTCTTTTTTTTGCCCGCAATAAGATGGATCAACAATTCATTTATAGCAAGGTTTTGCTTCTCCCTCATGTCCCTCCCGTTACCCCAGTTCTGGCTCTGCGTGCCTTGTCCCCCATCATGTCTTACTCTTCTCGGCAAGGCTCGAAGGTCTTATGCAGTTACTATGAGGTCCAGCCAGATATTCAGCCATATATGTCACTGGCAACACTAAGGTAGGTAAGTATGTGTGAGTGACATAGAGAAGGGTGGGTGTATGTGTGTCTGTAGCAATCCGTCATAGTATCTCAGCATGAGCGTCATAAGGGGGGTGTGGTCCTTGAAGATTCTGCTCTGCTCTCATGGTTGCACAGAAAGAGGAAAAAAAGAACAGCGATATGTGCAAGGAGAAGCGAAATATGTATGGTATGGTGTCAGTTCGTGCTACCGTGTTGCTGCGAGCGTAGACTAGGTGGTGGGTGTCCCTCACTTCATGCTATCGCTTGCTACGGAATGCTTTCTTTTTCCGCCCCGTCTCTGTGGACACCCTATTTCGAGGAATGTTGACAACCCTGGTCTCCTCGCCGGGGTGGATTACCCGGGCGATCGTCCGCCCCAATCGCGCGGATACCCCATCTCGGGACGCCCGTCACATTTCACTTTTTCGTTTCCGCCGCATGACAGCGCCACCTTTGTGAGAGTTCCTCTTCTCTTGGGGGGGAACCGAGAGAGAAACATGGTGCCTGAAGCCCTAGTGTGCCAGTATCCGTACCTTACCTACACAGTAGTAGGTGTATCAAACAGCAAGCCTGGCGCGGCCCCTCCCCTCCCCCTTCCCCTTCATCTCGCTGCCCAATCTTCGATACCACGCACGTCTCTCGGGGATATGCCAGACAGGGATTCATGCAGAAGGTGAGATTTCACACTCCCGCCCGTAAATCGCCTATAGCTCTGGCTCATTGGCCTGAGGCTCCGTGCCCAGCGCGGCTCGTTACAGTGTTAGTATCGAATCTTTTTCGAGTCCCTCCTTTGACAAAGATCAGAAAAGTACTGAATCCGTCTCCTATTCGCTGGGATTGCCGTCTTCCGAAGGTGGTAGCGCCGGGAGAGATGGACCAACAAGGCTGGCCGCAAGGAAACCATCAGAAAATGAGAAAAAAAAACCATTTGTGATCCCTCCGAGCTCGTGGATCGGATACTTGCTTTTTCTTTCCTTTTTCTAGTCCTTCCTTGCAACAAGGAAATCCGCTGGGCAGAATGGCACTTTGCTCATGCCCCGGTAGGTATTCGTATCTTGCTGACTCGAATCAACTCATTCCACCCGTGTCGTCGGTGACAACCAGGCGTAGTCTGGTCTTGAAAACACAACCTGGGGGCTCCCTGGCCACGGCCGAAAGAAAAAGAATGCGGCAAACGGGACGAGGAGAGACAAACGGATCCTAGTCGTGCCAGCAGCTTTCCGCAAGGGCCCTTGGGGAGGGGGGCGAGAGCAATAAGTTACGACTGATTGCTTTTGGAGAAGTTGATGAGGAAGAAGAGAAAGAAGAAGCAGAGGGAAAATAAAGGCTAATTATCCTACTTTTTTCTTTCTTTTGGTTTGAGACAAGGGCAAAAAACATCCACCGTTTCCCTTGATAATTTGACAGACTCTCATCATCGATACGCAACACAGACAGAATGGATGTGTACATGCGCAATTCCCCATCTTTTTCTTTCCGCAAAAGAAACGATTTCTCGAGGGCCAGGCCCGCGGGTTTGTGTCCATGCCTTCTCATCCAGCACATACGCCCGCCAAGTGTTCCCAGATAGAGGGTGGGCAGAATATCGAAGGGGGGAGGGGGGTATGTGATCGAGGGATGGGAAGGGTAGGTATTAAGCGGCAACCTTTTTCTGAGATCCTATACAATCTTTACCCTCGGACCTTTCCCCCTTAAGCCGTATCGATCCCGCTCCTGCAGCCACCTGAGCTTAAGATCTTACATATACCCGCTTGAACCATCACCTCGGGACGTCGTCTGACAGGCTGCTCTCGCTCACCGGTATCTGTCGGCCCTTGCAACTTGCCTTGACCGAGTTGTCATGCCAAGTCCCCTCTTTTCAGTCTAAATCAACCTCTCGCACGCTCACACGCACACGCACATACAATACCCTCGTGTAGGTTTCGATGTCTGTTGAAGAACAAGACCGATGCTGACGAAGCAGTTCCAGATAGCTTTTATAGCTACCGCCAACCTCACCCTCTCTGTTTCATCAACACCTCTTCACCCCCACCGCCACCCACCGCCCCGCGCCGCCCGTCATGTGCGAGTGGTACCGACGCAACTACGCCTGCGGGCACCACTTCACGGGCGCCTCCGAGTGGTGCTACCGGTACAGCCAGACGCAGAAGCGGTGTAAGGTGGTGGTCACGCAGGTCGACTACGACTCCTCTGTATGCAAGAGCTGTATGAAGAAGGGCGTCAAGACCGAGGTGCCCTGGGAGCACATGATTGACCGATCCAAATTCGATCCCAACCAGGAATGAGAGACATCCAACCACCAACACCACCATCATCACTATCAGCATCGTCTTCCGGTGTCGTTGGCAACGAACCGTGAAAGACGACCGAAACACTTGCACAACCTTTTCCTAATCATGTATTTGTTCGACCAAAACCGCCTACCGAAAGGCGAGAAAACTTATTTCCAGGGCGAGAGAGAGAGAGATGGATCCTCCCAAGGCGTACCGGTATCTACGAGGCGGTGATCGGGGTCGTGTGGCCAGGCACGTCTATGGCTTATTAGAGCATCTGGGAGCGGCGCACCTTATACCCATTTGATTTTATGATTGGAAAAAAACTTATTGGACTGTATGAAGTCCTTCGATGGCGATTGCATTTGGAGTTTTAGAAGCGGGATCTTCAGCAAAAAGAAAAGTGGTTTCTCAAACCCTCACCTTGGTTAGACTTTGTTTTACGCGTATAATGGTCGTTTGAACCGATCGCCTTAATGTTGGATAGGGTATTACCCGTCTTTCGAGATATCGTGATGCATCCTGCATGCTGCTTGATGAGCTTGGTGAGCGGCACGGCTATGCTAGCTCAAGGTATTGACTACCTGTGCCATGGATGCGGACCGACGAAGGCTTACTTGTCTCGAGGCAAGTTTCGATATCGACTTCGCGGTGTAGTGGTGTACTGAGTTGGGCATCGATCCTGCCACGGGTCGCGGAATGCCAAGTCTCAGATCTTAGACATGAAGCAATCTGGAGGGGTTGGCAAGCTGTGGCAACTGGATCAGGACCTGAAGATCTGTCTAGCCTTTTTGACAAATGACGATCGAAGCAAGAGTTTCATGACCCATTTGCGTTCAGTAGTGAACAATGCAGGCATGGCATCCCATGTGCAGGTTGAGACTTGCCCAGCCTGGAAACGAGGTCGTCAGGTAGCTATCGCATGGTAAAAGGAGGGGAAGAGGAGGTTTCGGAACTCCCAGTGGTTGTTAATTTCTCGATCTCGAACTGACACGGGCAATTCATTGGTAAGACAGACGGCCGCGATGATCCACGATCCGCGTTCCACACGGTACCGAAATCCTGAGACGCGCGCGTGCTTATGGCTCAGTCAGTGACGTTCAGACCGAGACAAGAGCTGACGCAAGGATAAGCCACTGAGCAGCTGAGCTCTGAGGTTTTGGGGTGGTCTTGCGAGGCTAGAGTACCGGTAGCCGTGACAACGACTATCTACGGCGCCTGTTGGAATCGGAAGATGCCTTGGTGACCTCCGTACCGGTCCCGCATTTTCCGGAGGGATGCCGGAAGTCCACCGGCTTCTAAGGCCTTACATCGAAAAACAGCTTAGAACTGGGGGAAGTCGGCTAGTATGGCGTCAAGGGGCCGGCGATGTTCGGCGCTGTGGTCGTTGAGTGTCGGAAGATGCACGGGCTTAGATCGGGCGCCCGGGCATCATGGCAGTCACGCGCGGCGCGGCGCGGCGCCCCTTCCCTCCATGGTCCGGTGGACCCACTTTGAGATCCGATTACATAAAGAGCCGAGTACTCGTAAGGTACTTGACTATCAAAAGTTCTACCTCGCATCTCAGGTTAAGGTCATCTGATATCGTGGAAAAGGGTTCCTTGTAGTTCTTGATATCCATGGCAGATTTCCCCTTACTCAAACTAACATCCAGCCTCCTCGAGTCCTCGTAACTAAAGCAGAAGCTCAGAACCAAGACTCCAGAATCAAGAACGGTACGACTGACTCCCCACCACCTCGGGACCCCTCCACATCGGTAGCGCGGCGCCCACACCAAAAACCCAAGAAAGGAGCTCTGAATGGCCCATCGCCGCAGTCGGCCACTTGATCGCTGCGACTTTACTTTGACAACCCCCACACCGCGATCAAAAATATCCACTCTTTCTCAGACCATCAGCTAATCCCGTCAGAGGATTGGGATGTAGTGGTGCACCCAAGGCGGTGGTTACCCAATGCCAAACCACGCTGCTCCGGGCCTAGCCAGTCCACTATCTGACCATTTAATTCGCCGAGTGTGAGAGGATTTTTCTCTCTAATAATCGTCTATTTTTATTCGCGCGCAAATCTCGCTTGTTACTCACGCCACGCGCTCTGTATCATCCTCACCTTTTGACTTCTCTTCTCTCTCTCACGACGTGTGACAGAGATTGAAAATTCATCGCAACTTTTGCGTCGCAGCCTTATAATCTGCTTTTTACCGTATAAGATTGACAATTGCGCTTAAACTGCAACTATGGGTCAACCATCCTTCGCGGCGTCCAACGCCCTCATCTACGTCACCTATGGACTCTTCCTGTATGAACTCTGCGCAGCTCTTTCAATCTCAACACCCTTTATCGCTGCTGTTTTCCCTCCCTCCTGAAGAGTGTATCGTACTAACGTTTGCGCAGTATCACCGGTACTGCCATTGCGTGGAAGTTCCGCAATCAGTCCAAGGGAGAGTTCCTGTCTGGAAATAGAACTCAGACGGGTCAGGAACTCTTCCCCTTTGCATCCTGAGAATGAGAGTGAGAGTATATGTGTTTAATGGGGCCAGACGAGGCTGAGTCTCTTATATCTGACCGCGTCTGCAACACTTGGCTCTCATTCCCTTGAGAAACAGTCAACAAGCTCGACTCTCATTCGGATCCCCCAATGTATAGCAAACTAACACGCACTCCCCGCAGCCTTCCCCCTGGCCCTCAACTTTATCGCCTCTGGTGAGTGAGGAAGACGCGGGTGGTCTAGCCACTGCGCTTCTTAACCCGATAGCAAAGCATCTTCGAGAAAGAAGAGCGGCAGAACGGCACGAAAAACAGCAAAGACTACGAGACTACTTTCCCACGAACCGCACAGCACAACGCAAGCCTACAACAGATGATATGAGATGATCGACTTCTCTATCCCCGATTCTTCTCATGAACAGAATCATCATGAGACGAATGACTATGGGCCAGGAATCCAATCGAATGACTGACAGGCAGGTTCGTAACCCAACAACAAAAAGATCAACAATTACTCCTCGACTTCCATTTCCCCCTACTCCCTTTTTTCTGATCTCATCTTCTGAATCGGCGGAGACAAGCCTACTAACCTTTCTGGCCACCCTTGAGGCACACCTCGAATGTGGCCAGAATTATCTGTGGAAAACCCTCCCCCCTTCTGAAGATGTCATCAGGAAAAAGGGGGTGGGGGAGATGGAAACATCGGGGATGCGGCTCACTACGGGCGCGGATTTGAAGCAGTCGCCGCGCATCCACCCTCTTCCGTTCTCATCGTCTCTGGAAAGTCCTTCTTGGAGGTCTCCTTCTGAGACGACACAACAGAAGAGGAGATGCCGCGAAATGTGGAAATGAAGCTGAGATTGCACCGTAATTACTCGATCAAGTTAATGCTTGCGTGGGAAACGTGCTGCCGCTCCGAACATCTCTCCCCCCTCCCCTCCCTCTCTCCTTCTACCTTGCCTCGGCCTCGTGAAATACTAACAAACACACCTAAGCCCTCGGCTCCGGCATCCTCTTCTCCTACCCGGAGCTCGCCACAATCACCGGCGTCCAGGGCGTCCTCGTCTACGCCCTCTCGTCCTCTCTCCCGCTCCTCATCTTCGCCGTCCTCGGCCCCGTCATCCGCCGCAAGACGCCCGAGGGTTTCGTCCTCACGGCCTGGACGAGGCAGCGCTACGGCACCGTCGCCATGTTGTATCTCAGCTTCATGACCCTCGTCACGCTGTTCCTGTACATGGTCGCCGAGCTGTCCGCCATCGGACAGGTCGTCAACGCCCTGACGAGTCTGGATGGCTTGCCCGTCATGATTGTGCAGTGCGTCATCACCACCATTTACACATGTAAGTTTCCCCTGCCGGTATTCTGGAGAAACAGAGAATATCAGACTAACGTCCGAATCATTCAGCCCTCGGTGGTTTCCGCATCTCCTTTGTGACGGACAACATCCAAGGCGCAATGGTAATCTGCCTCATCATCATCGTCGCAATCACAATGGGCGTCAAAACAGATATCGACACCTCCCTCATCGAAACCTCAGGCCTTCTCAAACCAACCCTCCTGGGCTGGCAACTCCTCTACATCCTCCCCATCTGCATCCTCACAAACGACTTCTTCCTCTCGGGCTTCTGGCTCCGCACCTTTGCCTCCAAAACAGACAAAGACCTCCGCGTGGGCGTCTCCATCGCCGTCGTCATCATCCTCTGCATCCTCACCATGGTCGGCGTAACCGGCCTCGTAGCAGCCTGGTCCGGCGCGCTCCCCCTAGACCAAATCGCAGACAGCGGCTCCATCGCCTTCTTCCTCCTCCTCCAACAGCTCCCCGCCTGGGTCGTCGGCATCGTCCTCGTCATGGTCTGCACCCTCTCCACCGCGGCCTTCGACAGCCTGCAATCCGCAATGGTCTCCTCCGCCTCAAACGATCTCTTCCGCAACCGCCTCAACATCTGGTGGATCCGCGCCGGCGTCGTCCTCATCATCTTCCCCACCGTCGTCATCGCCCTGAAAGCCCCCTCTGTCCTGCAAATCTACCTCATCTCCGACCTCGTCTCCGCCTCCGTCATCCCCGTCCTCGTGTTCGGCTTGGTCGACCGCTTCTACTGGTGGCGCGGCTTCGAGGTCGTCGCCGGCGGGCTGGGCGGCATCCTCACCGTTTTCTTGTTCGGTCTCGTCTTTTACGACGGCGACGCGCAAAAGGCGGGTAACCTGCTCATCATCTCCGAGGGCCTGTACGCCAACGACTGGAGTGTGTTCGGCGCCTTCGTCGCTGCGCCCGTGGGCAGTTTCCTGTGGGGTTTCGGCGCGTTGGGGTGCCGGTTGGCGTTCCAGTACGTCTTGGCCAAGAAGAGCGGTCGCCGCTTCGACGCGCTCGATCGGCCTGTCGGGCCTGGGTTCACGCCCGAGGCTGACGGCGCCCCTCGCTATGTTGAGAGGGACGAGTATGAGGCCAACTCTGAGGTTGAGGTCATTAAGCCCGCTGGCAAGTTCTTCTAAGGGCCATGCCTCGATCTCAACGGTGAGCATGCTACTCAG